ATCAGGACATGTTCAAAAGTATTGGGGCACCTGGCTTGCATGAAGAAAATATAATTTTTCATAAATATTAGGACACCTGTACGAAAAAAATGTGATGTTTCATAAATATTACACATTTTGTGCCACTTTAATTAGTTTATATTAGCATAACTGTTGTCGATCTTTAAAATTCTCCAGACAATATTTACCTCAGATTTTCAACAATTTCGTAATGCCTCATATCGTTTACTTCATATGCGATAAGTGTTCTAATACTTATGAACGGGGGTGTATGCGTCGATTGGAGAGAAGTTTTGAGAATTGTCATTCTCAGATAGACACCAGAAAACTCGTCGAGAACTTATTATCAGAGAGAACTCTAGAATGCAGTGTTCATTTACGAGAAATATTATCGAGGGATCCTTGCGCGAGTTTCACTCTCAAATGGACACCTAGCTTTACGGAACACGCGAAATAATTTGACCGTGTTTCCTCTTGCCCTCTTTCATCAAGGAGGAGGTTAGAATCGTGCTGCTTACAAAGATTCCCGCTCAACCCTCGGAAGACGGACGTTTTTAATGTTCGTACAGCAGCCGTGCTTGGACCCGTTTGGACCCTTAATACTTTCTACTTATCAAAGATTAGGTATATTCGTACGCAGTCATTCAAGACGACCTAGTTTTTTATGACTTAATAGAAACATCTCCTAGCGTAAATACGATTGATAGGCTGATGAGTTAGTCGAAGTTTTTAAAAACTTGGGTCCATATGGATCCAGGCACCACCGTTCGAGGGTTACTAGGCGTCACGTTAGTGTCAAGTGGTGTTTTCGAGACACTCAAAGTTATTGAATTGTTTTACATACCTGACAAAAACCATATTCTGTTAATTCTTTGTCGTCGTGGTGTTAACTACAGTCTCTCGAGGCGCCAAGTAATCAAATATTTCCACGCAGCGATGAACACCGTGAACACTATCCTCGAACGATGTAATTACAAGCCGCCGTTTAGTCCTGTTATCGTCCCTTTGACGTTGTATTCTTCCGCGACAGAAAACTAGTACAACGGCTGTGTTTGCAGCGCCACGTGTGGCGAAGGACATAATTACCGAACGATTCTCGTTCAAAGTGACGCGGGAAACGGTGTAGCCACACCATGGAATTTGTACCTGATGGTTTTCCATTAGCCAGTATTGTTTTTCACGAATTCCAACGCGGTCTCCGTTTTGTCGAACGACGAACGGAAACGGGCCTGCGAGAGCAACGACTTTATGAAAAATATTTTTTTTTCCTCGCGCCGATGGGCAAAAAAGGGAGGCGTGTTTCACGCGGTCCTCCAATTCTTTTTTTTCTCTGTATTCCAAATAAAACTATACGTAACATCCCGTTACTTTTTTTTCTCCCCATCTCCCTTTCTTTTTCTCTCTCTCTCTCTCTCATTCTGCTTCATCGCGGGCGCTGTTCTGCTGCGTCAATGGAGTTCGATTACAATACGCGCGGATTGGCCGGCCTCGAAATTCCGTCGAACGGTTTTATCCATTTTCACGGGTTTTACGGACAACCCGGCGACGCTCGTCGCGCGATTGTTACGTAAGCTCTTCGAAGCCGACCCGTTTCCCCGAGGCCGCCGCCCCACCGGCCCAAGCCCAGGGCTTGGAATGAAGGGAAGGAGAAAAAATGCAAACTATTATACGGGACACAATAGGCTCGACGAGGCTTTCACTCGTTATCGGTAACGAATCGCCTTCGGGTCGTCAACAATCGTTCGAAATCGCTCGTGCTCCCTCGCTTCTCTGTCCTGCCTGGATGCCTTTTATTCGTGATACCTTCGAGGACTTCTCCAATCTCTATCGCTGGCGAACGCGATGAAAGGGTACCCGCGATACTGGTTCCCGATGTTTGAAGAAGACTGTAATTTGCAACAACAAAAGGGTCATTCGCGGCTTTATCGGCGACTAGTAGCTTATTCTCGACACGCGGCCGGGAATAGGATCGAGCAACTAGGCTGCGGCTCTGAAAGAAGGGCACACACGCATCGCTCGAGGATGGCGGTTCATTTAACTCTTTTGTAACTGGGTTTCGCTTCTTTACGATCGGGATATCGTAGCGAGAGAAGAGGATGGAAGTTGATCCTGGTTCGGCAATTATAGGGTAGATCGAGGTGGTCAATCAAATTAAGGTTACTGGCGTTTTGTAAAATGTTATTTAATCAGATTCATAATTAGATTCCCTTTGTAACCGGGTTCGTTTCCTTCTGATCGGAATTTTGTACCGACGTAAGAGGATAAAAGTTGAAGCTTCAAATTACGATATATCGAGGTTCTAAGTGGTTTCTAAAATATAATTTTACTAAATTCTTAATCACATTCCATTTGTAACTGGGTTTTTCTTTCCAGACTTAGGAGGATATATTCGGAACTATAACATTAAAAATAGAAAACTAATTCAGAAATCGTCAGAGTATCACACAGGTCAAAGGAGATACGATAATTACATTGTCTTTAAAGAAGGTATAACAGAAACTTCAGGTCAGAGGGTGGTTGTTGAAAAAGTTCTGACCCTTTCGAAGTTACATCAGATAATTTGACTTTATTAAAAACAGTACTCCGCGTTGGAGTATACTTGTTAAATGTACTTATACTCTTTAAACATAATATCAGTCTTTTCATTTATCCAGTAACCTAACCCAAATGGACAAAAGCAACTCCCTTTCAATATCCTTCAAGAAAACTACACATATTCATCCGATCTACCGAAATTGGCTTTCCATCAACCATAAGGATTACATTACACCACTGCCCAATTCGTGTCGTCGTCCGAGCTAACATACCTTTATCCGAGGCTGTCCAAGCGAACATCGCTGTATGTACATGTTATGTCACGCGACCCGTTAAATGGAATTAACTGCTCGACACGTACCACGGTGTCACAGTTTACTCCCAAGTTCACGGAATGTAAGCTGGAGCCAAAGAAAACTCGGTCTTTCGGGAAATTCTTCGGGGAACCGTGTCCCGTAACGACAGAAGGGGCGATTGTCGCCTTTCGATCCGACAGGTTATATGCACGGGCATCGATACAGGACACCTAGGGGACACACATCGGTACGTGCAACGAGGACGCACGAGAAACATGTACGAACGGAAGTAGCCGGAAGAGACACACACGGGCTCGTTCGAAACTGGAGAACCGGAAATTCGTATCCACCGTCCGGTGGCCGTGAGCAACTGAAGGGCCAATAGCCAGCGACGATCTTAGAGTTAAATTCTATCCGACACTCTATTTCTTCAGCACTTTCGTTCCTTTCGTTTTTTATCGAGCCTCTTTCCTCCATTAATGTCCTTTCTTTTCCGACGCTCGCGAAACTTTCTCATTAACCTGGGAGAGGAATACACGACTCACGAATTCCGTCTAATTGGTTTGACCTTCTATTTCCACCGCTTCGGGGACGAAGGATGCGACGATCTCGCGACTATCGACTGTCAATTTTGATAATGTATGCGGGACGCAGCTGGAATGGTGGGACGAAAGGGAAGTAATGGATTCTTTGTGGAAAAATAAGTCAAAGTTTGAGACTTGGTTGCTGGGAAAATGAATTATGGTATAAATGCGTAAAATCCTTAATTTAGTCGTAAGTATAACCTTCATTCACAAATATGATTAGGGAATGGGATATTATTAAATCATTCATAAATAACATCGTAATAGAAACTACCCCTTAACATAGATATGGTCATAGCGAAATCCAACGTCGACGCTTGTATTTGTGTTCATTTTTTCTTCAAAGATTGTAATCTATGTACTTAGTTGTAAAATATCATGTATTTGTAACTCTATATTTGTAATGCTAAATAAACCCGTAAGGATTTGAGAAACTTAATAAAAAAAAGTATATCCCCACCGACGTTGGAATTGAATAGTCACCGACGAGAGTTTTTAATTTTTCAATCAAGAGTTTTTAATATTATGCAACACATCCTAACAATTTTTCATTAAAATCGTCGATTCGCAGCACAATGTTACAAAGAAAATTCCGTCTACCGAACAAATTCAGTTTCCTTTCAGATGAACGATTACAAATTCTTCCACCGTTCATTCACCTCCCAAGCCGTGCACCGCGTTTCTTTCGTAATTAAATTATTCCAGGAACAAGGTTACATCAACAAAAACCAATTAAATTCTCCGTTTACGTACAATCCACGCGCTATCCCTGCATCGAACGTTTCAATTTCAGAGACACGAAACGGAGAAAAACGGTGAATCGAGGCGAACTGCAGTAACGTAGGGTTCGTAACAAATTTCCGTGGGCGACTGTTTTTCAGTGCGGTCGAACGGAGGCAAATTTGATTTCGCTATGGCATTGATAAATGCCACAGAAATCGATACGGTTAGGAGAGGGAGACAGAGTTACGAGGTTTTCCGAGGGAAGAAAAACCGACCGTTCTGGTATCGACGCTCTATCGTGATTCGGACACCGGGTACATCCCTTTCAGGTTTAATTCCAGTGTAATTAGAGGCACGCCCGGCCATAGAATGTCGTCCATCCGCGTCGTTACGACGACATTGTTCTCGTCCGGCTATAAATTCCTGTCTTTGCGGTTCTCCTGTTTCAACGACACTCCAGTTAACGATTACACGAGAGTTTTCGGTTATTCCTTAAATTTTCGACAATTTTTACGAACTGTTGCACAAAGATTCAAACATCGGGAAAATCGGTCGAAGCTTCCCTTAATTTTGGTGAACATTTGCACTTATGAATTATTTTCGGGATCTTCGACAGACAATATAACGTACAGTAAATTGTTGCAACAATGGTTAATGCCTATCGGACATAGAAAATTGTAATAAAATTGAAATAAAATTGAAATAAAATTGAAATAAAATTATTCTCAAAAATTTGATCGTTACACCTGCTGGAACTATGCATAGAAATCAATTTTTCCCCCCAAATCATGTCATCGACACGTCCGTTCGACGCGACGACGCAAAGTATTAAGAAAAAAAAAAAAGGCTTCAGAGCACTTACCCATCTATCAGTGGCACGTCCCTCAGTATCCTGCGAGCCGCCGCGAGCCGATCCCCAGCGTGGGCGGCGAGCAGGATCCTCGTCAGTAGCTGACCAAGGACCATCACGCCCACCACCATCCTCATCCTCCTCCTCGCTGGACCCGCAGCTCCTCCTTACTAATGTCCTCATGCCATCACCGTCGGCTGTACCGGCTCGCCCGCAGGATATCTCCACCTCCCCCGTCGGCAGCGATTCTACAATTTCCTGTCTGTCCTCTTCTCAAACCTCGTTTTCACTGGACACCGTCTCACACCACACGAATCCCTGTCATTCTCACGACGCGCCCTTTGACCGTGAAATATCGTTTACCGAACCGACGAAAAACTTTCAATCGTCCAACCTGGGGCTCGATCCACGCGAGAGTCCCCGTTCACGCGCTGTTATCCGAGAATCGGATCCAGTTCACCGATCACCGGCCTTCCTCCACGATCTTCCCCTGTTTCCGGGACATTTCTCTCATCCCCCTGGTGTCTTCGCGCAGCTTTAAATCTCTCTCATACGGCTGGACACTTCTCCTTCGTGGACTCAGATCCAGATATCTCTGGGCCCCGTTAACCTTCCGACATTATTCTAGACTCCATTCTAAACTCTGGACACTTTCTTCGGAAGATACCAAGAATGTGAAAGTCGTTTATTCTACGGCACAGGTTTACCAACTTCTTGACCTGTTCATCACTGATACACTGTCTTTGATTCCTGCGGTCACTGTCGGATCTCTCCGATGGGATACAGCCAAGTCATCGAAACACTTCCAAGGGGAAACTTTCTAATTCCCGTTTGTCCTTCCCATGGGTCTACAAACGATCCCCGTGAATTAGTCCCGAACTTCGATGTCAAGATTGTATACACTCCCTATAAAGGTTTCTCTTATTCCTCTGTTCAACGAACCCAGATCAACTACCCGAACTTATCCTCATCGATCCGATCCTTTCAAAGCTCCTGACGTCACCTGGAACTCCGGGTTTTCGTTGGATACCGCGAAGGGCCACTCGAAGGAGGACAGCGTCTTTTCACCAGCCACGATTTACCCAACCGGACCTTTGACGAGAGTCTCCTTTGCGAGACTGTTCAAGGAATTCGGATCGTCCTCACGGAAACACTCGGCGGACTGTTTGCTAATTACGACGGGGAACAGCTTGCTGGAGGTAGTTCAGTTCAAATTATTCATCCCGGGAAACCACTTTAGAGGTCATTTCGCTATCTTGTACCTGGACCGTCTGTAATCTTTCATTCACGATTATATTTTCACAATCACGTATCGTTGAACCTTTGGACACCGCGATCAAAAGATCAATTAATGGTCTCCTGAGTGAGAAAGAGGGACAGATACAGGTCGCCAGGGAGGTCAAGCGTGAAAAGCCCGTTTTCCCAAATCGTTTCCCTTCGAACGGGCAGGGAATCCGTGTTCCAGGTCAGTCGTCGATGCACGATCTATGGTCCCCTTTAACGTCCACAGGCGAATGGACGGTCTCCCGCGGACCTTTTCATCGGCTCGATCATCTGCACGCGCCGGCGATACTTCATGATCACGGAACGGTATCGCGTGGGAGCCCGGGTGTCGCGTCTGGCCGTAAATCTGTCCCGATTAATTCGGCACTCGATTAAGTCCCCGCGATTAATTACGTGGTCCAACCGGTGGAACGGAATCCGACCGCGTTCTGGTCCACACTGCGGAATGACGGATCGACCGATCGGACACGAGTTGTTGTCTTTTCTCTTTTTTCTCTACAACTCTTCCTTGAACGCCAACGACTTGTCCGCTAGCCACACGATTCTTATGAACTTCCAGCTTCCTGTGTTCAAACACGTTTCGAGCTATCGATGCTGGAATGAATGGGTTATACTGGAAATTGTTCCCGCGCCTACAAATTTCGCAATTCCGTAGAGTCTGACCCGGAGTCTAATTACTTTCGTGGGCAATTAATGGTAGGCCCGCCACGCGTTCTTTAAGCGTACGTCACGGAGCATATACCCGATTAATAATTGAACAGGCTCGAGAGGAGGTTCGCAACTGAGGGCCTCCCGTTAACGTCGACTGCGAGTAATGAGTTAGCTCTGTTCATAATTATCGGCAGACACAGTCACGCGCGCATCCATCGCGTCGTTATCAGCCTGATACACGATATTTACCTGGCCAGCAATGATTAATTAACGCTAACGACGTTAACGAACACACCCCTTTGATACGTCTTGACAGAATACCCTCGGGGTGACAGCGTACCCCTGATTCGCAAAATGAAACGCGAGACTAATCCTATTCACCGTATTCCCGATCCTATAAACTGTCTAGATACCTCTGAAACACTCATACAGATGGATCAACGAAACCGCGACACAGTGTTTAAACACCATCGAGCGTGAAATCGTCGCGGACACGACCGGTCTATTTCCCGAATTTTATCCGGCGCAGTAAACCCGGCCGGCGTGGTTTTGTCGTTAATTTTATGCTCATTCCGTGACCCCCGTAATCCACCCAGTGACAGAGACAAAGAGTATCGTTCCGTTGAAATATTGCGGCCCGTAAAAATTCAAGGTAATCGGTACAACTGGCGCGCCGCCGTAAAATTAACAAGCGTCGAGTGTTACGCACAGATAGTAAAAAAAAAAAAAAAAAGTTCCCTAATGCGCGGGACCGAAGTGTTTGGCGAACTCTAGGGAACTGTCGCGAAGAGATGTACCAAGTGGGATGCGAAATGGTGAACTCAGGGGTTTTCGAGTGGAACTTTGGTGGTTGGAGGGAAACAGTTTTGTTTTGCGCGCGGTTTATCGGCGGTTCACCGTTCGCGGTGGTAAGCACGTCGTCGCGTATGGCGTAGAGGGGTGGTACCACGGCGTGGCGGAGTCACGCGGACCCGACGATCACTTGGTTGTTCGCGGTCCGGAGTTGAAGACCCGACTGATGGAAACGTACGCAGAAACTCGGTATAGCCGAGGGCGCAGGCGCTTCCAGTTCCTCTCCGGCGATCTTCCTCGGTTCCAGGCGGGACACCCCGTCGCGACTCTGTTGCACGCCCGGCGTATCTCTGCCAGGCCTCTTCCGGGACCGCTCTATCCCCCTTCGACACACTACGGTATCCCGATCTCGTGTCCTGTGCCCCTCATCCGTGTCCGGCCGCGCTACAAACCGACACGACGTGATTCTTCGGAAGTTTTCTGTGCTTCTTTTTTGTTTTTTTGTTTTTTTTGTTGAATTGCCTATCGCGAAGAAACTCCGTGGGGTGGGCATGGTTATTGTGTCCCGGTTATGGGGAATTAGATGTACTTTGTGGGATTCTTCCGGGTAAGATCCCTTTAGACGTTCAAATAATTTGGGATAACTGACTTGTTATATTTTATGTTAATTAGTACCTGGAAATATGCATGAAAATTCAAATATTTCGCCAGAGAGCCGAGCATCAATCCGATTGGAAGTTTACGGGCTGAAATTGCGAAAGGGAAGAGTTCATTTCAGACTACGTTGGAACAGATGTTAAAGGGAGAATCACTGAAATATGGGATTCTATTACCAACACATACAGATACACATTAGCTTGTAATATGAGGTGGTGACTCTAGGAAGTTAGGAACGCTAAATGTGGTCCAATGAAATATGTTATTCTTTATTAACCTAGTGATGGAATAAAATTAGACAGGTCATTTATGACACAATCTAATTAAAAGGTAGTATATTTAGATCGTCAACACGTACCGCAGAATATCTGACACTTTAAGATTTTGATGATTGCTAAGATGGTACCGAGTACTTCTACTACATCAGTAGCCTTCACTGTAATCAATTTCTGATTGTACAAACCTCGTCTAATTTTTCTAAAAATATTCAATGATCTATTTCACTACTATACGTCTTCCCTGCATAACCTTCTGTTCTTCCCTCCACTTCCACAGTGTCTTAAGCATTCGAAACCTTCCGATACCCTATCGAGGTTAGCCTCGAAGGGAAGCAACGTTTCGTTTCCGACCGGGGACCTTGATTCACCGCGCGGAAAAGTTTCATTTCCATCGGCGGTCCAGGTGACTGCCGAGTCTCGAGTCGATCGTAAAACGCGATAGCCCCCGGCGCAGTAGATGGCGGACTCGATTAAATCTCTGTGGATGACGCTGCGTAGCACTGTGACCATCAGTGACAGCCCCGTCCCGTAGTTCCTCTTCGTCATACGATGACTTTTTCTTTGGCTGGTCCAGGTTGTTCGAACGCCAAAAACGTATGACACGGCACCAGAAAATCCGTGAAACGAACCGTACGAGATGTTTGAAGAGGATCAATCTAATTTCGCGCGGACCCGCACGATAAACGGATCCCTTGCCCGAAGACCGACGGAAAAGGGGCCAGGATAGCAACCAAAAGTCCTTCGGCTGGACGAGATATCCGTGTCCTTCTTCTATCGAGTTACCCTTGATTTCGGGTAGCCAGGATTAATCTATCCCTATCCAACGGCACTGCTCCTCGTCCCTGAATCCTTTTCCGTCCCCTCTTCCTGGGGCTCCCCTGGCTAGACACCGAGGATGGACACACATTCGTCTCGTTCCTGGTCTAATGCAAATTCCGAAAAGGCTCTCCGGAGCCTCGACCATAAATCAGGTTAACGTTTTCCACGTTTGCCTGGCTATGGTGGCCCCGGGTGTGTGTTTCGCAGCCGCGCTTCCTGCAACCACCCCGTTCCTCTCGTCCCTCGCATCCTCTGATCCACCGGCGACGGTGATTATGATGACGGCGTATTCGACGAAATTGCGGTTCGCCCCGTTAAACGCTCCGGGTCTAATCTCAATTTCTAATTCTAATTCGCCGCGGAGCGTAGACCCTCTTTAGAGGGTGGTGCTTGAGACTCCTTGGTCGGGGAATTGATTTTATTCGGGGTTGCTTTCATGTTCTGATTGTTATTACTGATTTATGGATCATTATGACAGTGTGAAGTGGGACTAATCATACAGGGTGATTAAAAAAGGGTCCATAACTTCTGGGGTAGATAGGACACAGTAAACGATGAAAATAGGTCCGAATAAACATGTGTCAAAAAACTAATAGTTTCGGAGGTATAAACAATTTCTTGTTTTCGTTAAAGCGATACACTTTCTTGCTTCAGGG